AAACAACTATTGCTGCCTGATTCTAAAAGCGCCCGATCCATTTGGCGTCGGGAACAAAAAATAGCATGGCTGCAGCATGACCTCGATGCTCCCGATTGTAAGGACCGCTGAGTCGCCGTTTTAAGAGCCCTCGAGCAGGCGCGAGTCACTGTCAGCCACATGGAGCCGTTGGAGCCAGCACAGCTCGTAGTCGGCCCAGAATTTCCCAGCACTCGGCCAGGTCACCGCCCTTTACGAGCATCGCTCCGATCGTAATCTGCGAGCGAGCCAATCCAGCCCAGTGTCGGCAAGGGCGTGCACAGGGCCATGAAACGAATATCAATAGAATACCGCGGAATGGGTACGGGCCGCAGAGTGCGCACCTGATGGCTGCAATGGTGCCGACCAGCTAATAACGGCCCCGTGCCTCCTATTGGTGGCGATAGTGTTGTGTCAGGGCTGGCCGCCAAACGAGGTAGGTCACGAACGCAGGTATGCATACATACTGAATCGCCCTCAGCAAGCGCTCGACAGAAACAAATGGCCAACGAGTGATGTGACACTATATCTACATACGGTCGCCAGCTAGATGGAAATGGAATACGTTTGAGTTGAGTTTGTATTACTGAGGCAAGAGTTACCGATAGTGTAGCGATGGTGAAGTTTAGCGGGCGCCGCTTTATTTTATAGGTAAGGTCGCTGAGGAGCTTGCAAAGCTGGGAATGATGAAAAGTATTTGCGTTGCGACATCTGCCCTAGTACACCATGTACCGTCACAGCCGTAACGCTATAGCCAGGCTATCGACCGGGGTAGCTGAGCATTCGGAACACCCATTTCACCGTCAAAATGCTGTGGAAGTGCAGCCCTGCTGTCCGACCGGTACCACTCTGACCGCTGACAAATCAACAATCCCGCATGTACGGGCAGCAATGCAGCACCGCGCCGCCTCTTTGCCCATGTTACGGTGCTCGCGTGTGACCTTTACTTTAGCGGGCTGTGCAGCCGTCAAGTGGCCCATTTTGTCGGCGGGTCGATCGCTCGATGGGTGCCCCGACGTCCCCAACCCACTGCTCACCCCTTAGGCACGGGTTCTTTTATCGAACTAGTTTCGCGCCCAATTCACGGACCCTGTGCCCCCACCTCATCCAGCCTAACCGATCGAGTGCACTCCAATTTCGAGTGCGCTACGTCGTGCGGCACAGCATCACTTCAGGCGCCTACCGCCCGAGCCATCTAGCGGCAGTCTGGAGAGTAAGTCTAGGCATCCACCAAACCCACCCAACAGAACCGACCAAAAACTGTACAGATACGGTACCACACATATCGCCTCAAACTCGACGTCCACACCTTTCATCGCAGACAAGTTATAGTCCCCTATAGCTTCGCCTCACGCACCACATCCCTAAGATCCAGCAAACATTCTGCCTCACAGAACTTGTGTCCCTCCATTGAGTTGGCTTTGCCACTCCATCTAGAACAGACCCTGCGTCTCCCATACACCCTGCAGACCCGGCGTACTTAAGTACCATCTAGCAGACCCTGGGTCCCCACCGTAAACTGGCGTTCCCGCTTTACCAGCGTGAGTAAGTACAGCCCTCTGCAGACTGCGTGGTAGGTATTCTTTTTTTCGACAAAACCGAGAATAACGCGAATACTATGCTATCGGCCACTCGGAAATCGTATCAGCAAGATGCGCGAGACTCCGCAGCTTAGATTGGCATTATCACCGTATGCATTTTCCATCCAGTTTGGCAACAAAGCCCAAAAGTTTAGAATTGCCCCCAAAACGAACGTTTACATTTTGTTGCCACACAAGGCGTATGCTTTGTTTATTGATAGGCCCTATCGAAGGAGTGGAGCATGGCGCATCTATTTGCAGTGAGTTTCGACCGACTGATAACATGACTTTTGAATTATTATCAGTTTTGTCGGAAAAAGAATACCTACCACGCAGTCTGCTGAGGGCTGTACATACATTCCACACATTTCCTCGACAAGCCGTCCAGCACTACGCGCTTTAGCAGCTATGTGTCCCTGTAATTGTCAGTGAATGAGCTACTCTGAGTAATTGCCCGTGAAGCGGCCGATCCCACCTCACCAGACGCCCGCCCCCGCTGTCCCATCTGGGTGATTAATGGTTGCGTGTCGCTTCAACAGCCGGATACTACCGACACCAAACAAAGCCCTGTTGACGAGGACGGCAACATCATTACCAAAGAAAACGATCGTCGATTATAGCAGACCCTCAGACGAATGGAGAAACGATTGAAACGAAACACAGACGAGTGAAACGGTGCACCAGCTGATTGTCATAATCAATCAGATTTAATTGCTGCTTTGTGCTTGATCGTGTAACGTGACAAAAGAAGCAAAAGCATGTGTGCCAGGCATTCTTGGCTCGGACAAGTCACCACTGAATATGACTTTTAGCCATTAGCGTCGCTACGGGGGGCAAGCGGGGCAGCTTGCCCCCCCAACCTCGGACCGGGCACCCCCTGAGATCGATACAGATCCGATGAGATTTTGGAGTCGGGAAAAAATGGGGGTACCTTTCTGAGAATGCCTGTGAGGTCAGACTCGGTTTGAGCGTGCAGTTCAAACCAGAGTCTGACTCGCAGTCGCCAAAATATTCAAGACTCCGAGTCCAGACTCGGAAATGTCAATGTTGTGATTCATTACATGTTCCTAGTTCGTTCTTTATTACATTTTACAGCTGATTTTCATAAGTTTTGGAGTGCTGACACAATTTTCGTTCAAAGCGTGAAACGAAATCTTCGGGGCCTTTCTCAACTCGTCAAATGTCTGCGACAGGCTCAAGTACCTACCGTACAAGTGTCGCAGGGCTCATGAGCTTGCTTTAAACAAAGTCTCCTAAGGAGCTCCAGTGAGCCCTAAAGAAGCTTTCAGAGGGCCCAAACCGGCCTCTGAAAGTCCCACTGGTGTTCATGTTCTCTGAGGGCCCATACAGGGATCTTTGAGCCTTCGAACATTTCTGAGAACCTTAACTGGCCTCTGATAGTTCAGCCAAATTTTTGAGGCGACAGACTTTGCCAACCCCAAGCCGGCATCTGAGGGGTCACAGCCCACGTGTCCCTCTGAGGTCCGCAACACATGTTTATTATGTCCCTACGTAGGGTCCTTAGGGATTCGACACAGACCCCGAGGGTTCACACTGCTATCCGAGGGCTCCAGGCTCACCCTGGGCCTAGTCTCTTAGCGCCCGCCGCCCACACTGCTTCTGAGGACCCCACCTTGGGCTCGGAAAGCCCTAAAGCACCACGTACACGTAAATATTTGAGGTGACCCACGTCGATCTCCGGGATCCTAAGCAGGCTTCTGAGAGTCAGCACTGACCCTGAGTGGCCTGAAATGGCCTGGTAGTCACAAACCTATCTCTACGGGATCCCTTGCCGCTATGCCGTGCGTTACTTTTGGTTCCGTTTAACAGTTTTTGTTCGCGTTTGCAGCGCTTCCCTTCACACGAAAAACGAGAAACTTTTGTTCACACTCGAGTGAACAAAACACTTCATCTCACTGAAGCAAAGTTGAATTACTTCCGAATTCCGATTCACGCTTCCGACATTCACTCTCCGCCGAATGCCCAACTTAGCTACGATCGGCGGCTGGGATAAGTCCTATGCATTTCACGTAAAACCTCTGCATGCATGCGTGAATGGAGGTTCTAGCAGGGTGATCCGATTAAATGGAGCGTTTTTCACCTCTTAATGGGTAATGATCATGAGCGTCGAGCGTCTGCACAGGGGCCCTCTGCAGTGCGTCGGCAATCGCACCCACTATAATTCTACCAGTCGTTTTGTTATGAAATTTCAAAATTTCGAATTTTTCTGTAAAAAAATTACATGTCATAGCTAGAAGGAAACCTTTGTCACCATCGGATTCCTCGCACCATTGCGCGTCGAATGATATGTAAAACGAGTGAGTTAAGACTGGGGAAAGGCAAGTTTTGACACAAAAGTTGATTTTGCCCCCCCAACCGACAATCTCTGGCGACGCCTATGCTTTTAGCTACCGTAACTAATTGCCTTCAGACACATGCGTGCTCAAAATTTTGCGCTCGACGTACATCATCCCTAGTGTTGTTCTAGGTTTTAAGTTTCAGAGTTGGAGCTCCTTCTATATGAGATGCGAGTTCATATGCGATAAATTACTAAAATAAAGCCAATTAAACGTCTTAACTATGAGACAACCGCGCTGCACCAGCACCTGCGCATGCCAGATCTTAATTTTGGTTGAATTTCTTCCCATCACGAAGTTAGTTGATACTAGGGTTACCCGCGTGCTCCGCAATGCGAAGAAGGGTTATTTTTGACCCGTGGGTATTGGGTTGGTCTGTGTCGATTTGGCTGGTATCCATTTCGTTCGATTGCTTTTTGACGGCCAAACATTTTGTAATAAAAAAGATACATCGCATCGAGGTGCCCGTGTCGTATTATCATGCGTTCTACTACTTTAGAATGATTCGGAAACTGGCGTGAAGTCTTTTGAGGGCCATCGATAAATTTTGCTAAAAATGACGATGCAATGGTTTGGAACATTTACATTTTTAAGAATACTGTTGCTCATCATGCAAAAATGCAGACTGAACCTTGGACAAAATTGAATGCTCTTTCCAACGGTGTCATTTTTATTTGCCAGATGTATCAGATCATGGAGCAAAACCATTTTGTTGAACAAAGTGGCACAAAATTGACAAACGCCATTTTCTCCCGTGATTTGTACCACCTTGATTTGGATCAATCAGCTTTTCACAATTTTTATATGATAGGCGGTACATTTCTCTTGCCAACAGGCGTTGTTCCAACTCGCTCTGTTTAACGGTCACCTAAAAATACAATCAATTCCAAAATCCGCCAAAAACCGAAATTTTTCAAATAAAAGTGCCCTCTCCGTTGCACGTGGCGCGTGCTATCCTCTGCATTGCACACCTAATTTGTAGGGTACGTTTAGGAGCACGGTAGATAATGATATTATTTTTACTTCGTAACACAAAAGGACAAAATACAAATACAGGTGTATTCTAAATAGCAACAGTTCTAGTATTTCACATATTCATCAAAACATCATTAAACGAGGCAACGGGAAAACCCTCACAGTTCAAAAGACGTGAAGGGAATATTTGGCATTCGTGGGTGTAGCCATTACGGAGCGTTTAACCATCGCGATTCGCTGTTTCGGGGAAAGATCTGACATCGGCTGCATTAGCCACAGTGTGATGGCCAGCATTAGAACAAAGCACTATCAGTATCGACACAGCAGCCACCCTAATCCAGACGGCGCAGAATCAGACACTTCAAACACGAGCTCACGACCCTCCCCCTCCCATACTCAACACATATCAGACACTTCCTGCCACTTTTACAAGACGTCTAGCCTGAACAGCTGCTGCTGGGATTCGGCCCCTGTGCCTCCATCCCTTCCCCCGTGACCCTCGGCCCTCCCCTACAGTGATCCCCCTGGCAACGCTCACAACTGAGCCCCAACCCGCACCAGACGGCCACCTTCCCGTCCTCCCGCCACACAGTGGGCCAGGCGCTTCAAAAAAGCGGAATTAAATCAATGAGCACAGCTGCGGTGCCAAAAATGATTCGTTACAGGGTAAAATATCATGCTAAAGCCGAATCCGATATCCATTTTCAAATTTGATTGGTTACGCTAGGTCACTGACCTATGACGTCATTATTTAATTTCTGCGCTGCACATATGCCTGGGACAGGCGGGCACTATGCCGCATTGGCCGCGCGTTTGCAGTCTTTTCGTGGTTTCAAGCGTTCAAACATGTGATATGATGTTGGTCCCATACATTAGGGTGGGTGTAAAGGTCACCTGAAGGTCAGGTCAGGTCATTGACCTTCGATGACCTCGGTTCACTTTTTCGAGTTTTACATGTTTCTGGGCTAGTTTTTGGAGCTGAATTCGAATTTAGGAACCATTTGAACATTTACGAAGTAGTTTTGGTGTCTTCGTAACATGTTACGAAGCTGTCAGAGGCGGGTTGACACCTACTACGAATACCCGGCAGGACCCATACTGGTTGACCGGACCTGAGCTGACCCGACCTGGCCTAAATGCATGAAGACATCATCTGTGATCAAAACTAACATGATATTCGTGATCAGCGTCCCGAAAAACCCCTTAGCAGACTTTCGGCCATTGACCTGACCTCAGAGGTCACCATTTGACCTATGACCTTAAAACCGGGTACCGTTGGCTTCGTCTCGTGACGACCTACACGATGGTTTTTTCCGCGAGGCTCTAGCTCAATTAGGGGCCAAACGCGAGGAGTGTCGCATCCCCCTGTGCCGTCGAGGGATGCAAAACGGCCTATGCCGGCGAGGGTTAAACCTTTATTTGTCCATTTCGCGCAAAAATGCGCAAAATATTTGCATTGGGCAGCAAGCTATACACCTTGAGGAAAGTCAGGCAGCAAATATCTTCGTGTTGTTCGGTGACGTTTTCTTTATATCCTTATATAAATTCATTGCGTCGTTGCACTACCACGGTTCCGAACCGGCACTATAAACCCCACCGCTACTAGTAAGCATTAAATAGTTCCCGGGAACTTGAGTACGAGAAACATGCGCAGAAATACCGGCTGTTTTTTTAAAGCTATTTTGTACGGAATAACTTAAATGATTTTACGCTGAGAGCTTTTGAATCGGGGGAACGGAATATGGTACACAGCAGTCATTTCCATCTCCAGTCGGTAAGTCCTACTTTGCGACGTTATAGCATTATCTGCCTTGACATTGGGGAAAGGAAACTTGCTTATTCGGAAACTTTGGACATTTTTACAATACTCTATCCCATAATTACAGGAATTTCACCGAAGTTGATTTTCGACTTAATTCCGCTTTTTTGATGCGCCTGGCCCACTGTGCGCCAGCCGCCCCGACTGACCGATTCACAACGAACCGTGACGGGACGGGGCGGGTCGAACGGGCACAGTGCCGCCGCCGCCTCCGCCGGGCGGGGCCACCCCAACTGACCCAGGACGGGTCGGTCAGGCGAGGTCCTGCACGCGGACGGTGCGCCGGACGGCATTGTTGTAGCCCTCCTTGAAGTGGTACCAGACGTCCGTGCGGAGAAGATGGCCAGAGTCGGGCGCCTCGTCTGCGAGTAGACAGAGTGGACACGGTCAATGATGGCTGAGGTGCGGCCAGTGAAAGAAAAATCAAGCAAATTATATACGAAAAATGTTGTCCGAACCATGGCCGAACTTTATTAGCCGGCTTGCGGCACCCGATGTTGACAGTAAAGTCGGGACTGGTTTAAAGAAAGCAGGGGTACTGAAGCAAGGTCCATTAACCCTCGCATGTGTAGGGGGGGGGGGGTCGGATGGACCCCCCCATGGTTTTTCGCGAATAACTCGCGTAAAAAGCGGCCGATCGCGACGAAACTTTCAGTACCCTCGCATTGATCAATTTTACACCTACCCTGAAAATTTCATGACCCTGACCCAAATGACCTTTGACCTGTGACCTCTTTTCCGAGACCATGTTTGGCCGGAATCGCGATTTCGCGTATGTCGGCTCGCACTAGCCGCGTGTTTGCAAGCTTTTCGTGGTTTCAAACGTTCAAACATGTTATTTGATGTTACTCCCGTGTGTGTCAAGGTCACCTGAAGGTCAGGTCAGGTCATTGACCTTTGGTGACCTCGGGTGACCTCGGGTCACTTTTTCGAGTTTTACATGTTTCTAGGCTAGTTTTTGGAGCTGAATTCGAATTTAGCAACCATTTGAACATTTACGAAGTAGTTTTGGTGACTTCGTAACATGTTACGAAGCTGTCAGAGGCGGTTGACACGTACTACGAATACCCGTCACGACGCCTACTGGTTGACCTGACCTGACCTGACCCGACCTGGTCTAAATGCTTCAAGACATCATCTGTGATCAAAACTAACACGATATTCGTGATCAGCACCCCGAAAAACCCCTTAGCAGCCACACTTTACGACTTTCTAAAAGGTTCCGATTTTCCCGACTTTGGGTCATTGACCTGACCTGGAAGGTCAACCAATGACCTAGGACCTTAAAATTGGGTATCATCGGCTTCCTCTCGTCACGGGCAACACGCTCGTTTTTTCCGCGAAGCTCTAGCTCGATCAGGGGCCAAACGGCAAGGGGGGTCCAACCGACCCCCCCCCCCCCCCTACACATTAGAAGCTGGCAAACGCCGCACACATGCGAGGGTTAAGCCATTATTTTGCGAATTAATAACAATGTTTCTAAAACTGACTAAGACATTCTGAGGAGGCAATCGTACTTTTCAATTCTTAACACAACCCTAATTCCATTTCATTCTCATGGAAAATGTATCCTGAACAACTACCTAGGAGTTCCCCGGACCACCCACCCTTTACAGTATAACTAAGGTGGGCCAGCCCGGCTAGATTGCGCGCTTCGATTGGCTATTCGGGAGATGGCCTTTGAGCCGGGGCGCGGATCAGAGATGTAGAGGTGCCGTCTGGCCAGCGCCGCCCCTGGCGCTTCCCCAGCCGGTCGGCAGCATCCCTGCGCGGACCAGGGGCCACTACAGATGAGCCGTCCGGCCCAATACGTGGTACCGTTAGTCTCTGTCTACCGGGCGGCCTCCCGCGGCTCACAGCGTAAAACGGAGCGCCGGCCGCCCGGCTGGCACAATAAAGAAGGGAGTCTGCTCACTGGAGACCCGGCGGTCTTCGTATGTGCAGACGGCACCTGGTCCCGGTCCAGCTCCATTAGACGCAGGCTGTATGCACCGACTTTATCGCTATGATACGCAGGAGGATGCCCACCGTGTCGGATCGATACGGTGTCTGTTAATGAACCAACCGACCGGCTAACCGTCCGGCCGACAAGGCCGGCACGACTCCTGCCCTCCCCCCGCCTCTGGGCCTCCCTCTACCGGCCGACAGAGCGAAGGGCAATGCCATACCGACTGCGACATATAAGACACATGGCCACTGTCACCGCGACGGTCTCTTGCACAGAGACAGGGTCAATGTCAGCTGGACAGTGTAAGATGCAACACAGAGCCAGTCATACCGACGGTCACAGACACAGGACAGAAACACCACCATCAAACGTCATCACGACCGCCACGTCAGCCAGACGTCACACCGAGCTACGTCACGGCTGGCGTCCCCAGCGTACCGGACGACGCCATACGTCACTATCTTGGACCAGTGAGCGGGCATCAAGCCCAGGACGGTCATGATTTCGACATAAATGTCGCTCAGCTCGGCGGCTATCCGGACGGGGCGGTCGGCGTCTGTCCACGGTGGGCTATTACATCCGGTCCGGGCCGGGTCGGTACGGGCGAGCGGGCCATCGCCGGCCTAAAACGACCGACGGCACTCCGACAGCGCCGGGCGCCCGAGCGTGAGACCGCTCCGAGGACTGCCGGCCGCACAGCAGGCCGCCACGGCGCGCCTCGGTGACCTTATGAAGATGGATGAGGGGTCGGAGATGGACAGCGCTGCGCGGGTCCAGTATATTGTCCATGGTTTTAGCTGGAGATGGACACTGGACAGGACTGTGCGAGCCCAGAATATTGTCCATGGTTTAGCTAGAGGCGGACGAAACGGTACATGGACCGTAGCTTCGATGAGCCTGAGACGCTTTCCGTTTGCGATCTCAGATCTGGAATCGTGATCATTTGTCACTCTAGAGGTCACTGGTCAGGGGAGGTTGAAGTAAAACATTTTTTCATCTTTCTTTTTGCATTTTTCCGCGATGACACAACCGCGCCAGCGGCCCCCGCTACCCCAAACCCCAACTGCTACCGATCTGGCCAGGACCCCATTCCTTCTGAACGTACCGTCTGCGGGAGTCTCTTTCTGCGGCTTCGGCTGGATCACACGACCGAAGAAATCCCGCGGCAGCTGTAAAACACCGGACGACGGTTAGCCAAACAGCCGCAGGCAAACAGGTGGGACTGTGGCAGTGCGTGTGTGTGTGTGGGGGGGGGGGGGGGAGGGGACGGCAGTGGGATAGTTGATAAGACAGGCATCCCAGTAGGACACTGAGACAGAGATGCAGTCAATGGATAGCTACATTGACAATAGGGTAAACAGACAATGGAACAGCTAGCCGTATAATCAGGACAGTCGTTGACTCAGTCGGCATAACAAGATTCAGTGGGACGAGATTGCTGGTAAAACTGTAATACAAATCCCTCAGAAGCCAGCGAAGACATGAAATTCTCCTTTACACGGAATACGAAATGGAGGCAGGACCAGTGCAAACAATCCATGTAGCACATCTATCACATCGCTAGCAACGTTTTGTTTTCTTGCTTATGGGGCTATGGAGTGCAACGACTGCAATGGTCATTTTGCGACCATAACGCTTCTCTAGCAACGGTATCATCAGCTCAGTCACTTCGCTTGAACACAACAATATCGGAAACCAAACCGTCCGCAAAGATCAGCCGCCATCGGAGCATCAGAGTGAGACCATGAGGCGGTGAAATCCGACCCGGTGTCGGACATTGCGCCAATTGACCGGCCCGGCCGCCGAACGGCGGCTCATTTCGCCGATATCGTCCGAGGGCCGTTACCGGACGATCTATCGTCGTCAACGACATCCCGCCGTCGGCGATGATAGTCGCCGCGGGCTCAGACAGTCTCAGCCGACGGGTCAGCCGGGTCATGGCGAAAGGTCAATCGGTGCTGAGCTCAGGCGGGTCGTCGGGTCGCGGAAAGGGGTCCATTCGTGCTGAGCTCGGTCAAACCGTCAGGTCACGACCGAAGGTCATCAAAGAATAGAAAGAAAGAAAGCTCTGACGGCTCGTCAGGTCATGGATAAAGGTCAATCGGTGCCGAGCTCAGGGAGGTCTCAATCAAATGTACATCAGTGCTGAGTCCAGGCAAACCGTCAGGTCACGGCTGAAAGCTAATCGGAGCCCCAACGATTCGTCAGGTCACGGCCAAAAGTCAATCGGTGTCGGCATCGGCTGTCGGCAGTGAGGAGTACGAGTGGAGAGTGATAATCGATGCGAAACCGGAGGGCAATGACACCAATCACAGGCACACGACCGCACGTCTGATCCACACTTATGAACGAAACAGATCTACTGGTCATCGTGAAAGAGATCGAAGGATCGCGTCACGGATTTTGTTCTGTACAGCACTGAGATAGGCGTACAAAAGCAGGCGGACATGAAAGGCCACTGGAGACGACTGGTGCATTTCGCTCTCAGTCACGAGCCTAGACGTGGGACGAAGTATGTTCTAGTAATCTTGGGATGAAACGTCGACGAAAAAAGAACAATATGATAAAAACAAGCCGTTCTTCGCCTGATGCCTCTTGTGCACCAAATGTCAGCTAGAATTACTGTTGCACCAGCGTGCTAGCCTCACATACCATGATATTCTGACTGGAAATCATACTATCGAACCATTTTTTCCCTGCTTATGATCGACAAGAAGTCAAAACACCGGTCCACTCCGTGCCAGAAGCCATACTTCATTCACCTATCATGATATCCAGCCACGAAATGCTTCCTACCGAACCTCGTGTTTACCTTTGACGTGATCGACAAAAAGTCAAACATCGACCCGGCCTTGGACAGGTGTGCATCGTTTCTAGTCCCACCCCGACCAGCCAAGCACGTCAAGCGTGCTGGGCGACGGCACGACCTGGCTCAACGGCCGGGGTCGGGGAGGGAGCGACTGCCCGACCCACCGACCGACCGACCGACCAGCCGACCGCGCGAGCGATCCACCGACCGCCAGCCGTCCTCGCACTAACGACCAAGCGGGGCCGCCCGGTGCGGTCGTCTCGTCAATCGGCAGCTGACGTACGGTTGGGTCGTCCAGTGAGGCTCCTCCTCCTCTCTACTCTCTCCAAACACACACCGGCAGAGGGACGGATGGACGGACGGACGGACGGACGGACGGACGGACGGACGGACGGCTGGACGGCTGGACGGACGGACGGACGGACGGACAGACGGATGGACGGACAGAGACAGACGGACGGAAGGACGGACGGATGAACGGACGGACGGGCTAGTAAGCCGACGCACGAATCAGCGAGCGGAGGAATGGACGGATCCATGCGCGAAAACGCAGAGGAAGAGCGAACGAGTTACACACTCATACGCATGAATAACGTCGCAAATATACAGATATGTCAGAGAATAACTGCAAACATCGACACTGGGAAAGACAGCAGCAGACTGACGAGCCAACATGTAAATGGATGTGCACATACAGAGGGACACAGGACTGATGACAGCGAGCACGAGCGGCGGCAGCTGACACAATGGTAGTGGACAAAACGTGTAGGGCGTGCCGTCGACTAGAGCAACGCATAGGGCTCCAGTCTGATTACAGCAAACAATAGCTACCCCGCTACAGTGGCATTGAAGGAACATAAAGGCTCACAAGCCGTGCGGTGTTTACTGCCATGCTACGATGGTTGTATAGCATCCAATATTGCTAATTGTTAGTGGCGACCATCGCTAAGATTGGTGCCTGTCACAGGAATAGCCCACAATGCAATTCGTAATTTATGATATTCACCTCTCCAATACAATCAACAAACAGCACATATCTACAACATGCACGCACCGGTATATTGGTCAGGCACGTATGCCCCCTGGCTAATGGTCGACTATGGACTCCTCGTCCATCAGCAATTATAGATGTGGTCGGTATAGCTGGATACTACCTGACCCAAACCGAAGGGGGGCGGGGGTGGAGGGGGAGAATGGAGGAAGAGGAGGGATGAATGTTCCCGGATTGCGGAAGCGGGGGTGTAAGGCTAGACTGTTGAGACGATTAGACGTGCTAACTTCCATTCTACTTTATGAATAATATTGTTTGTGAGTGTTATGGAACAGTTGCAAGTGCTAATCTATTACTAATAAACCAGTATAACGCCCTTTGGGGCGACTAACGGAGCGAGCGAGAGAGTGGGCCTTGCACGTGCAAAATTGCGAGAGGGTACCCCCAACTGACTTGTGCACGGCACCCTACTAACCGGTCTCTAGCGATGTGTCAAATTTGGGAACAATCGGCCCAGCCGTTCTCGAGATCTGGAAGCGGCACCCTGCACGTGCGCACGTGCAAAATGGGTCCCAACTGACTTGTGCAATGCACCCTACTAACCGGTCCCTAACTGTGTACCAAATATGAGCGCAATCGGTCGAACCGTTCTCGAGATCTGGAAACGACCCCTGCACGTGCGCACGTGCAGCAGCACCCCAACTCTGGCACATGGATATGCATTGCCTAGTGGGTGCCTACCTACATGCCAACTTTCAGCACAATCGGCCCAGTAGTTACCGAGATATTGCAACAATTGCAAAAGTGACACCTCTTCGTTTTGCACGTGGCACGTGCATAAGGGGTCACCCATATGTATCGGGAATAGTCCAATACTTGGTAGAAGGAATGAAGCTACCCTACAAAAATTACCGCATGTAAATCGGTCAAGTGGTTGCTGAGATATAAGCGTCGTAGAATCGTGACCACGGCCGGCCGGCCGGCCGGCCGGCCGCTCATACTCAGAAATTTCCGTTATTCTACGTAAGACTCCGCTCGCTTCGCTCGCTCCGTAACCAGTATAACGCCTTTTGTGGCGACTAACGGAGCGAGCGAGAGGGTGGGCCTTGCACGTGCGAAATTGCGAGGGGGTACCTCCAACTGACTTGTGCACGGCACCTTACTAACCGGTCTCTAGCGATGTGCCGAATTTGAGCACAATCGGCCCAGCCGTTCTCGAGATCTGGAAGCGGCACCCTGCACGTGCGCACGTGCAGAATGGGTCCCAACTGACTTATGCACGGCACCCTACTAACTGGTCCCTAACCGTGTACCAAATTTGAGCGCCATCGGTCCAGCCGTTCTCGAGATCTGGAAACGACCCCTGCACGTGCGCACGTGCAGCAGCACCCCAACTCTGGCACATGGATATGCAGTGCCTAGTGGGTGCCTACCTACATGCCAACTTTCAGCGCAATCGGCCAAGTAGTTACCGAGATATTGCAACAATTACAAAACTGACACCTCTTCGTTTTGCGCGTGGCACGTGCATAAGGGGTCACCCACATGCATCGGGAATAGTCCAATACTTGGTAGAAGGAATGAAGCTACCCTACAAAAATTACCCCGTGTAAATCGGTCAAGTGGTTGCTGAGATATAAGCCTCGCAAAAGCGTCCGCACGGCTGGCCGGCCGGCCGGCCGCTCATACTCGGAAATTTCCGTTAATCTAAGGAAAGACTACGCTCGCTTCGCTCGCTCCGTAATTATTCTCTTACTTTATTCTAATACCTTCCTTCCCGAGTCCATTCGCTCGTCTCATCCTGAGCCACATCGCTTATAGGTTGTGCCCATCTCACCCATCTGTCTTCGTCCGTATCTGTGTCCGTCCATCTGTGTCACCAGTTACCGTCACCTGCCCACCATCTCCTGCAGTACCCCTCCTCTCCCTGTATCGCTCCCTTTCTCCGTTCCCACTCACCACATTGTCGTCAGCCACGGCCCTCTCGGCCAGCGGCTTGGCCTGCAGCTGTCTCAGGTGGTTAGGGACCGCGGCCGGCGCCGGGCCGGTCGGCTCAGCCGCCGGTGCGGCCGGCTCCGGAGCTGGGGGTGGGGCAGTCTCCCGGACACCGCGGCCCCGCCGGTCGTCAGTGCCCACCAGCGCCGCCTGCCGGCACAACGCAGAAACACACTCAGGTCATGGTCGAATTTGCAGTGAGCTACAGCGTTACAGACAGTTGTGGTAGCTGTTTAAATATGCCGGCGAAAGGGAGTGACGTGGAATATGATGTTGCAGATATTTAACCCACGAGCCGCTGGGGGGGGGGGCATAAAGTTGCCCCCCCCCCCCCTTTACGTTTTGTGAAATATCTCCGAAACCTGATGAGCTACGAACGTGAAACTTGGCATAGCTTCAAATGAATACCTAGGCAATGTTTGAGGAAAGTTTGGTGGTTGTAGCACCTAAGATGACGTCACAGTGACGTCATAAAGTTTTGTCGTTTTCCGATATGGACCGTTTCTGATGACGCTGAGCATGAAACTCAACTGTAAATGAACTAGATAGCACCTGCTGTCATCCTAAAACATCTAACTACACTTCCATCTAGTTTCTGACCAATAATCGACCCTTTAAGGCCTGGCTACACTATGCGTTTTCTGCGTGCGTTTTTGCAGGTTTTCGTGTTTTGCGAAATATCGTTCTAGGAAAAAAGTTATAAACAATATAATTTTTACTTTGGTTATATACAAAAGCTAATATAACTCTTACGTAACTGAAATTTAAGGTGAAAAACATCACAAAAACGTAATATCGTTCTTTTTTTCTAGAACGATATCACGCAAAACACGCAAACACGCAAAAACGCACGAAGAAAACGCATAGTGTAGCCAGGCCTTTATATTCGGTCCCATATATCTGATGTATCGTGAGGAATACGAGAGTCGCAAATCTATAATTTCACTTATGACGTCACTGTGACGTCATTTCAAATGGGATCGACACCAAATTTGGACACAACCTCGGCTAGGTATTCAGGAAGGTGTGTGCAAAGTTTCGCTTCTCTATCTCTTCGCGTTGCGACGATAGCGTCGCAGAAGCGTCGCAGAAGTAGAGGGGGGGCAACTATATGCCCCCCCCCCCCCCCAGCGGCCGGCGGGTGGCGCGGAGGCCCAGCGGCCGCCGGTTTAAGCGTGTAAACACTTTCTACATTGTGTAAACAATATTCGTAGAGCTAAGCTAACGGTGAACTAAAAATAAATATCAATGTAACTTTTTTTTGACATGCCACTTTCTTCTCTTATATCGTCTGACTCGGAGTGTAGACAGAGCCCGTCTTTCTGGATTTTGAAATAGCTGTTTGAAGGCTCCGGATCCCAAATGGCTGACTGATGTACCCAAGAAAGTAGGCATTGTCATTGTAAATCCCGACGCCCACTTCCTTTCCGGGCGATCCAGGCGAGCACTTGCTCGAACGGACCCGCCCCGAAACGACCGACAATGATATGATATTCCATGTTGCCAAAAGTATGCATGCCAGTTGTTATACGGCATACTTTTACTTTGATTCATGTTATCTACGTTCGATGTTTATTTTCTTCTTCCTACTACCATATCAGCTTACGACAAAGTTATGTTGGAATATTACTAGTGTACACAATCCAGAAAGCTGGCGCGTGGCATTCGACCACGCTATTCGTGGTTATTGGTTTTCCTGCGGGGACAGTTAGTGCACCTGATTGGGTCTAGTCATTAGCACTACAATTGGCTGCGATCCAAGCTGACACCAATAACAAGATATTGCTACTGCCATGAATGTACAACGCAAATATTGACTGTTCCACACCAGGACTTATTAGTCATGAGAATGAGGACGAGAGAAAGCCAAAATTATGCGCAGTACTATTTATTTACCAGTATAGCGCCTTTTGGGGCGACTAACGGAGCGAGCGAGAGGGTGAGCCTTGCACGTGCGAAATTTCGAGGGGGTACCTCCAACTGACTTGTGCACGGCACCCTACTAACCGGTCTCTAGCGATGTGCCAAATTTGAGCACAATTGGCCCAGCCGTTCTCGAGATCTGGAAGCGGCACCCTGCACGTGCGCACGTGCAGAATGGGTCCCAACTGACTTATGCACGGCACCCTACTAACTGGTCCCTAACCGTGTACCAAATTTGAGCGCCATCGGTCCAGCCGTTCTCGAGATCTGGAAACGACCCCTGCACGTGCGCACGTGCAGCAGCACCCCAACTCTGGCACATGGATATGCAGTGCCTAGTGGGTGCCTACCTACATGCCAACTTTCAGCGCAATCGGCCAAGTAGTTACCGAGATATTGCAACAATTACAAAACTGACACCTCTTCGTTTTGCGCGTGGCACGTGCATAAGGGGTCACCCACATGCATCGGGAATAGTCCAATACTTGGTAGAAGGAATGAAGCTACCCTACAAAAATTACCCCGTGTAAATCGGTCAAGTGGTTGCTGAGATATAAGCCTCGCAAAAGCGTCCGCACGGCCGGCCGGCCGGCCGGCCGCTCATACTCGGAAATTTCCGTTAATCTAAGGAAAGACTACGCTCGCTTCGCTCGCTCCGTAATAACCAGGAAGAGCTTTTGCAAGTCGCGATGGGTCTGCGCAGGCTCATTCCGACTGCGGTAATGTTTGTGTACGGCCCACTCCACAATGAACAGCGGCAACTCTATCCATGTTGATCCGTACACCACCCACCCAAAACAAACACATGTAACGCGTATGGTTCACCCCAGCCGTCCCTCGCGGAGCTCACCTCTGCCCTTCTCATCTTCTCCAGTTCGATCTCCCGTGCGATTAACTGTTTGACGGTGTACGGCGCCGATCGCTGCGGACGCTCGTCCCCAAAGTACACCAGCTCTTCCATGTTTCTGCGCAAGAGAGGAGAAACAGGACGTCGGCAGGACAGTATCGGATGCCCAGCAACAGAGATCGAAAACGCTCTACGAATAAAAGTGTAATATTCCGACGAATTGCAATATGGTAGAAATAGTAAGTAACATCTAAAAAGCTAGTGAAAAGCACTTAAAATTATCAACAGCAGCAGATATAAAGCGCCTGTGTGAAAGCCCGTAGGCAGCAGCTGGGCCTGCGGCTGGGTGTGCCACTCACGGCTCGAGCAGGTACTGGTACTGTCCCTCTGCGTCACGCTGCTGTCGGTAGGTGAGGTTGTAGGCCACCATCAGGTGCAGCACGCGCCGCAGCTCCTCCTCTTCCCGGGGCGTGTGCAGCTGACTGCTCACCTGACGAGATAAAGCATAGCTCAATACACAGCACTATTACAGGTGACTGCTCACCTGACGAGACACAAAACATAGCTCAAGTAATACAGGAGACAGATCATGCTGCTCAACTGATGACACAAAGCAATGCTCTGCTGAACTGACGACACAGAGTAAAGGCCTGGCTACACTATGCGTTTTCTTCGTGCGTTTTTTGCGTGTTTGCGTGTTTTGCGTGATATCGTTCTAGAAAAAAAGAACGATATTACGTTTTTGTGATGTTTTTCACCTTAAATTTCAGTTACATAAGAGTTATATTAGCTTTTGTATATAACCAAAGTAAAAATTATATTGCTTATAACTTTTTTCCTAGAACGATATTACGCAAAACACGCAAACCTGCAAAAACGCACGCAGAAAACGCATAGTGTAGCCAGGCCTTAACAATCATTGCACTATTCTGTATCACTAGCCTGGTGATACAGCATAGACAGCTACCTAGCCTTGACGTCGTGGCTTCAAACCACAGCTCAGACTACCTCCTCAGCGACACTAAGCGCCGCGGTACAATTTGGCTAGAAGTCCGAAAGCTCTTTGGTTCCCCAGCAGGCTCCTAGCCGCATCCAGTCGACTGTCCCGTGCCAGCATTTACCTCCCCACCCAATCCTACCGCCTACCACTCTCCGTGTCTGACGTACCGGTCGCAGGTTGGGCACCGCCACCTGCAGCAGGTAGGGCAGCACGTCCTTCACCAGGCTGGCCCGGCCGTTGAAGCACCGTGTCCTCGGAGACATCTCCGAGATCATGCTCGCCAGCAGGTTGTTCAACTTGGAGTGCCGCTGTCGGGTCTGTAGAAAACCAGCGGGGTTAGTCAGTGTTCAGGCACGGGGTGACGCCTGCTCACATAACACGAGCGAGCATTGCCGTAATAATTCTGCACTGCAAAGGTGCTTATCATCGCAAACACTGCAGTGACCTTTACGGTAATGTGCACCCGTCTGCTGCACCGTGCAGGCTACAAACTGAGGTTTTATCGTCTCATCTGTCGTCAAGACAGGTAAAATTACCACAAACAAAAACAGCAACTACTATCGATTTCTTCTGCCCCTGGCCATACTCCTGCTGTAGCCGTGCGGTCTGACGCACTAACTACCGACGTTTCCATCGTGGGAGACTCGATGTGACCTGTCAGCTGCACACCCTCCCTTCCCCTTCCCCAGGCCGCCCCCCCCCCTGCCACGACTCCGCGTCATATACCGACCTCAGAGTCAGCCTGGGGGAAGGCGGGTCGCGTCTTCTGCAGCGTCGCGAACAGCAGGTGGAAGGCCACGCCCGTGTACGACTGGTACGGCAGCAGGACGTAGTTCTGACTGTGTTGCAGCTCGGCGTTCAGCTCGTCCCCGAAACACAGCCAGTCGACACCCAGAGCCACCTGTCGGTCGGGGGCAGAAACACGTCCGATGACACGGAGAGGCAGCGGTGGGATTTGGGTACAGATTGCAGAAGCTCCATCACAATTCAAGGTAGCCTACGCCTAGTCAGCCATAAGAAACCATTTCTATTTGGGCCTCAGGGGACTGCGGCTACATTTGGCGCCACCACAGAAAAATAGAGAGCTTTCTGTAGCAGGGTTAGGCCATGTTACACACAGGAATATACACAAACTAATGCACACAGGCATTTGTGTTCTTCACCAGAGCGTACTGACTGGAGGCCACTCACCGACTGCAGGGTGGAGTCCTTGATCTTGATGTTGAGGTAATTCTCAAACAGACCCTGGGCCAGCTTCTCGTGTTCACCACAGGAGGTGACCACCGACACGATATTGCTGAGCCTGAACGGCAGGGAGGACAAAATCGTCACCACGCTCTGAAGCTCACAGCTCCTCTGACAGACCCACCTTATGGTAAGCTAATATTCGAGAAAGCTGGTAAAATCAGCAATCACTTACGAACAATGGTAAAATATGCACTCTTATACCTTGAATGAAAGATATCAGACCCCCCCCCCCGCAGGCTTTGTTGAAATATTTAACACTGGATTTAGTGGATTTCCTGCTAACTGCCGATGTCCCCAGCCCCCAGTCAAAGCCCGTCAGTCACTCAAAGGGTCATCTCACCTTTCTGCCAGACTGGTGCCGTCGCCCGACAGTCGCGACGACCCGTCCGTCTCCGATACCACCAGGTGCTTCCTGGGAGACGCAGCACATATCCGAATAAGAACACGGAGTGAAGAGGCAGTCCACAATCTTATATCGACCACAAAGTATCAACTAGATATCTGTTATTTAACAGCACAAAAAGGAACAGGGCGGCAGGAGTTAAAATACGAGTGCAAAGTGGCAACGTAGTTCACTTACCAAATCATTTCACAGATCGGATACCGCGGTAAGCAAGGGCCGCACACCAGCGTAACAATGAACGGACAATTAGAATACAAGACTCACCGCTGTGGCCGCGGCATGTTGAAGATCTCCTGCCAGGCGGCAAATAAGCTCTTGTGGTGGTCTTTCTGGCCGACCGTGGAGCTCTGAACCTGGTCCAGAGTTAGCCGCTCCTGACGACTCCTGATGGCGGCCGGAAAGGACATCGTCACAAAATGCTCCAGCGAGAACCGCACCAGCTTCGGACCTTACAGTGCCAGAGCCCGTGGTACCGGATCGGTACCGGTGGTACCATGGGCGTTGGCCAGAGTTCAGCGCTCTCCGTCTACCCTTCACGTCCCGACCGGCTGCCACCGGAGACCAGTGCGCTGCCCAACTAACGGTTAGTCTCATGGCAGGCGGCCGGGATGTCCTGCCGGTCCCGTAGCTCAGTTGGTAGAGCGTTGGACTCCGCGTGGTGAGAGCACGCGTTCCCGGTTATAACAGTCCGGGTTCGAAGCGCGACGGGCGCTTGACATTTATGGGCCTCCTGACAGGTATGGTTGCGGTTGGTGGCAGGCCGTAGCCAGGCTAAGTCAGTGAGGGGACCGGCCGTGCGCGGCTATGTGCGCACGTTAAACTTTGGACTCTAAATTCTGCCATAGAACTGAAATTGCGCGATCGGGGGGTAGAGGGCAGGGTCACCGCAACAAGCTTCGCTTAGCGGTGGCTCTGTCCTTGTGAGTCCTTCCTATCAAAAGGTTCGGACAAAATTTATAAAAAAAGGCGGCCGGGATGTCCGGAACTACCTGTCACCAATCGGGAACATTCTCACCTGACAAACTGCAGGAATCCGAGGCAGGAGCGGATATCATTTCGCGTCTTCTCACACAGACTGAGCAGGGCGCCCAGATCGGTCTTCAGCCCGTTCCGTCGGCAGATGTCAGCCAGACGGCTGGCCAGTCTGTCGTGAACAAACCGGACGGAGTCATAACACTCATACCAGCGGCTGATGAGTCTATCTCACTGATATAATTCAAATACGCATCCTATGCTGAGCCTAGGACGTCACAGGTACATCGAATTGTTGGCTATTTGATATCAAAGGTCGGCGTGACACTTGCTACTTATCTGAGTAGCCACAACCTCATTCCCTTATCCGAGTCTGCCTAAGTACGAAACGGAAGCCTCATGCACTCAGCTTCCCTGAAGAAACTGAGCGGGACATTTATCGCACAGTGAGACCCGGACCGGCTACACTCACCTCTCGCTGGTGGTGGGCGGGAACGTCATGACCAGCGCCATCTGCCTCAGTGGCCGCAGCGCCGGCACATACGGGTCGTTACAGATACAGATCACAGGCCGGTGGATCGGCGCCGGGCCCTCCTTCTTTTTCTTCTTGTTGGAGGAGGTGTCGCCAGATCCGGCAGATAGTGCCGCTACCAGATGGTTGATGGCCGGCTGAAAGGACAGAGGAGCGGGCGTGATTCACTAGTCTGCTCCGTGGGGAAGGAGTTCTCACTTGATTGTGTACAACTGGTCATCTGCAGAGCGCGAATAAAGCAACATGTACCGCCACAAGCACTAAACAGCTGATGCACTACGCAAGAACTAATGAGAAAACACGATGTAGCACTGCATCACTGAAGTGGATTTTTTTTCTGAATTGCTATTCATCTCACGACAAAACGCCACATGCCAGCAGGCTGTTCGCCGACCAAACGTCACGCACCCCGACCACTACCATGAATCATTCCAGGCGCCTGTCCCATCTCTCAGGCCGAGTGAAAACTGACCGCCGGAGCGCCGTCGATCTCGTCTATGACCAGACAGTTGGGCCGCGGGTCGGCACCCAGCATGGGACGCATCTGCGTGGCCGACTCGAGCGCCGTCCGGAACGCCGTCACGCTCCGGTCGTCTGAGGCGTTCATCTCGAGCACGCTGTAACCTGAGGAGAGGGCCAAACGAGGCGAATGTTACCGAATGCTGATATTTTGGTAGTAGACCGCAACAAGATATCTAGTAGCATATTGTGTTCAGCGCCAACCAATCTCTGGTTCTGTAGGAGAGTGAAATGCATATTTATAATGCCTATTACGTCCAACAGAGGGCTTTCACAGTTACGTCTAACAAGACACCACCCTATTGTGTTTCGTTAGCCAATAACTTCCGTCAGCTGTTCCGTCAGCCACAACGCTACCCAGCAACTTTCCCTTCGTTCCCGCACTAACCGGCGTGCCTGGCCAGCACGTGCGCCAGCGTCGTCTTGCCGAGACCGGGCGGGCCGCAGAGCAGTGCCACCTTCTGCTTGGGACGGTTGGTCGAGTCCAGTTCCTCCACAATCTCAAACGCCGGCTTACGGACGAACGGCTTGACTGTTGGTGAGGCAGCGGAAAACAGGTCAAAATCACACCGAGATTACGAGGAGATTAAATTATGTTTCAGTTTCAAGGGCGACCCGGCTGTGTCAGACAACGGTAGCCATTCAAACAAAATAACAAGCTCGATGTTTGTTTGTTTATTGGGGCTTAAGGGCGCGCCGACTACAAGGTCATTTTGCGCCCATAACTATATACAAGTAGAGCAAGTGTGTCACAAGAAACCGACGTAATAAAAGGCTTAAAGAAGCCTAAAAGCTGGTTAAAAAGAGCAAAGAAGGGTAAAATACTCCAAGCGTATCGTAAAAGACAGCTGACTAGGCGTAAGGACTAGATTAGAATAGACGTATGGACTAGTTGGTTTGGTATCAGATCGAGTAGATTACTTGGAATTTGATTGAACGGATAAAGGAAAAGATGTTGCCAGATAAAACCCAGGGTGACTCGTCACCCAGCAAGTGGCGGACGGTGATATCCGGAGCGATGCGGCCCAGGTAGCGAATCCGGTCCGGTTCCAAGCGTCGACAAGATAAAAGCACGTGGGCGACGGTGAGAGGCACGGCGCACCCGCCGCAAACGGGCTGCTCATCTCCGCGGAGAAGGTGGCCATGCGTCGCATACGTATGACCGATGCGGAGCCTGCATAAAATCACTTCGTTTGACCTGTTGTCTTGCGAGCAAGACCTCCAATGCTCCAGAGTCGGCTTCACCTCTCGGAGCTTCCTGCCTCCACGCAGGCGCCACTCTGCCTGCCACTCCGTTAGAATAAAAGATCGTACAGCAGGGTAAAAATCACGCGCCGGCAATGGCAACCGACGAGTGCAGGGTCTCGATGTGCAAATCCAATGTAGATAACGACATATTTTCAGTGACTTACACTTTCCGTCTGGCTTTTTCTTCTCCTCCTTTGGCGGCTTTATGATGACGTCGCGTCCAAAGACGGCCTTGTCCCATAGCCTCAGCCAGTGGAGGAGACCGCGGTTTATGGTCTGAAAAAGGACCACGACGAGGTCAATTTCAGTGCAATTTTGGTCCTTAGGTTGACTATTAAATAATGGAAGTGCCCTTAGTAATGATAGGTTTTTGCACGTGCATGCAATTATTATATAGTGCCAACAAATGCGCCGATGTTTTTTCTTTCCACTGGTGAAGACCAGATGTCTTTAGCTACCTTCTGCTCTGACCTATCACCGTTTTTCCAAGAGACTACCTAAACCTGTGGCGCACCATAAAAAAGGAGCCGGGCAATGACCAAAATCGCGCGCCATCGCCAGGTTATCAGAACTCAGCAGCTCATTGTCATATCTCACCAGCTCATATCCCATTGTCATATCGCGTAGGTCTAAGAGCCTATCGCCTACGATCATTTTCCCCACTTGGTCTCGCGCATGCGCCATGTGCACCCTCTTGGGTGTCCCCGGACGCTGCCTGTCCACGATGTCGGCACCCCTCTTTCCTTTGAATCGATGATACCACCGACATATCGTCTCTAGAGAGGCTACAGTCACTCCACACACTTTCAAAAGAAATGTGCTATCTCGGCAGAACTTATTCCTACCACAAACCGACCCCTGATGACCTCGCGCCGCGCTGGCACGCGCTTTTGTCCATTTCTAGGCTCCTTTTTTATGGTGCGCCACAGGTTTCGGTGGTCTCTTGAAAAAACGGTGATAGTTCAGAAAAGGATGAAGCTAAAGACATCGGGTCTTCACTATTCGAAAGAAAAAAACATCGGTGTATGTGATGACATGAAACAAACGCATGCACGTGCAAAAACCTATCATTGCTAGGGGCACTTCCATTATTTAATAGTCAACCCTAGTAAAAGCACATAGATGGCAAAGGCATAGGACACGAAAACGGAAAGATATTGCAGCGAGACTGTCGAGAGAAAAAACCCTATCTCATTATAACTGCCACGCAGATGTGCGTAACTCTATAGTAATAACCACATACGCGAGTCACTCGCTTGTCACTCACTTGCTTGTCACTCACTCACTTGTCACTTTAGACCCCAACGAACCCACACACATCTTGTCCATCGCTAACAGGACGCTGCAGTGTGTGCCAGCTCACCTCGTCACTGAGCAGCTCCACGTAGGTACGCGGCTGGAAGCGCTGCACCCACAGAGAGCTCCGCTCAGTTTCGTCCTCCGACTCGACTCCCGAGTCGGCGGCGTCTGTGTCCCAGGAGGCCAGCTTCTGCAGCACAGCACGCTCCTGTAGCAGACGCTGCCGGCGCTCCTCCTGAAGTCGCAGAGCACAGAGCACAAACAGGTTACAGGTCAGAGTAAAGTCACATATAACATAACGCAGTTACATAACGGCATAACGCATAACGCAGTTACATAACGCAGCTGGACACATAGAGACTATAGGCAAACAAATGCGGCCTCACAAAGCACACTCGGGCCACTGCATGACAAACATTACAGGTCAGAGTGCAGAACATAGAGATATACTGGAAGCGCCACAGTGATGACAGAACATTCATCGTGTAGCAGTTATCAGAACCTGACGGCTGTTGCGCCCCTCGACGGCCGCGACCGTTGACCCACTCACCAGTCGCCGCGCCTCATCCTTCAGCTCCTGCAGCGGCCTGGAGAGCAGGCTGGTGCGGCTGGACACGGGGTTCGCCAGAGGCTGTCGGTGGCGGGGGAGCGGTCAGTGGGAGGGTCTGCCGCTGCCGCAGTATGATCGTGACAAGGGCAATGGTACATTGAGGATGTGAAACGGCACAACTCACACGAATCAACCGCATAACAGGCACACGTTTACGGGTACTAATAGTGGTCACTCGAGGCTATCGACCCTGTCAGAGGTAGCACAGCTAGAATAATCCGTGCTAAAATTACCAGCGCTGTAACCAAGTACAGTGTGCTACCGTTGATCGCATCATACCGTAAGATTGCGTACCTGCGGCTGGCGACTGCGGACCGTGAGGAAGTACCGACTACCGTCGGAAAACGTCAGCTTCTGGAAGGCACCCGTGAGCGGTACACGAGAGCTGATTTCGACAGTACGCTTCGCCGCCGGAGCCGGTACCCTGAGGGGAGGCACACACACGCGATACCGTCACAGGCGGCTGGGATAGTGAGATATGGCAGACACATTTTCTTAGGCTTAAATATAGACTGCTACATAACGTATCGATGTCCATGACTGAGATCAATGAGACACTAAGCGAGCCAAACGATCGCATGACGCAACACACAGCGGTTTGTATATTACTATAAATACTAAGGATACATATATTTACAGTTTCACAAGGAAGATGGGAAAAAGAGTCAGAGAGGAAAACCAGCAAATACCATCATGAAAATGATGGTCTATGACGAATGTCGTCGTGCCCCGGGGCATATTCGTCTCTCTTGTGACAGCCCTGGTTCTCTCGCAGGTTCGCTATTGCATATCAGTTTATGGCAACGGCTCAAAAAAGAACACAGCTAGAATCCAAAAAATCCTTAACTTTGCAGCAAAAGTTATTTTCGGCCGGAGAAAATTTGACCATGCGAGTGACCTGCTGGAGAACCTGGGCTGGCTGGGGGCTCAGCAACTCGCTGAGTACAGTACGCTCTGCCTCACGCAGAAACTGCTCTCGAGTGGCGAGCCAGTCTCCCTCGCGGCCGTCCTCCGCTCGAACTCGGACGTACGTGAGCGCACGACCAGGCAGGACAGTCATCTCCATGTACCACGGTCAAGAACCGAGGCGGGGAAACGGCGTTTCTGTGCGAGAGCCCCGAGGCTTCACAACCAGCTGCCACCTGAGACCGTTTCCCTCAGAGGGAAACGCTTCCAACGAGCCCTGAAGCGACAGATGCGGAGCCGGACGCTGTCTTTAAACTGAAGTAAGGTCGTCTGACTCAGTGTGTGTGCGTGTGTGTGTGTGACTTGGTATGTTTCGGTTGGATGACTAATTGTTTTGTACACATCTGGTATCTACCCTATTCTCTGACTCGGAGCTTGAAAAGCCACTGTTGCTGTGGAGTGCTCTTCAAAATAAATACAATACAATACAATACAATGACCATCAGCTAGCCTACCTCTCAGCACCATTCGCGATTAAAAACAGCCCCGCTCTCACTAAGAAGTAATGACCTACCTCTCGACACCATTTACGACGGAGAACTGTTCCGCCTTCGGCAGGGCGCGACTGGCGCGAATCCTCTCCATCAGGTCATCATAGTGCTCATCGTCGGGCGTCCGTTTAGCCGAGAGCTTCGTTCGCTTGGGAGCTGCAACATGAAGTGGCGTCATACTTTGCTCAAACAATAATGCATCGTCCGTGTGGCCTAATGGATAAGGCGTCCGTCCCGTAACTAGGTGGAAGCGAGTTCGTGGCCAGGGAGCTCCACGTCACTCGTCCTCGTTTTTCAGCCTGCTGGCAAGTAACTGGCGAGAAAGGGGCCTACCAGAGCCGAAAGACGGGTCGCTATCTACTTGCGATGCGTTAAATCTTCCAGTAAAATTATCACTGGCGAGCTGGCGGGGGAAAGAAGGACAGCGATTGTTGATTTATTGGTGTCGTTCGCAAAAGAACCGCTTTGTGTCGCAACCAATGCAGTGCCAACCAAGCATGGTGCAGAGCAGCAGCAGGTTTTCATGGAGTGATGTGGTATGTAAATCCAACTGTGGTGATTTCCTGAAAATGGTACCGACTATACCGAGTACCGACAGCTTGCACCACCCTACCTATTTAACCCTATTCCTGGCGGGGGGGGGGGGGCCTCAGGAGCCCCCCTGAGGTTTTTTGGTTATTTCTCCCAAACGCGTTGAGCTAGGAAGCTCAAATTTTCTGACTTTTCCTAAAAGGCTTCTACGCAACATGTCTGAAAATTTTGAGTTGATCTGACCTCAGGTCAGGTCACCAGAGGCGGTTTGGTGACCCTACCTCAGAAAAGTTTGCAATCACGCCAGAGCTAGAGTTTTTGACCGATCAATTTCTTCTCTTCAGGCTTTAGTTAGGGTACCAGTATGTGCAATTTGTATATCTCGGAATTTTGATATCGGTGACCTAAGGTCAGGTCAGTTTCGCGACCTCCCCATTATCAGTCAATGGGGGAAAAATCAACTCCCTGTTTTTACCACTAAAACGGGTCGGAATGGCCCCATATACCATACATGATTTCATATACGATCAACCTTCACTACCTTGAGGTCTGTTTTGCTGTTGGGCAGCTGTGAGGTCATGTGACGTCATCAAAGGTCACCAAAGGTTTTTGGCCAATAACTCCGTACAGGAACAAGATACAGACGCGTGGATGGTCTCATTGTGTTCAGCTCGTCAAGACGCATCGAATGATATACATGATGACCTCGAGGTCACGTGACCTGAGGTCAACCTTTGACCTTGACCTTTCGAGGTCAACATATATATCATTCGATGCGGATTGACGAGAGGATCACGATGATGCCCTTAGTTTGTCCCTATCTTGACTAATTCGAAAGTTATTCGAGAAAAACTCTCTCCATATCTAGCGCCGCCATTTTGACTTTTTCGACCCCTGTGACGTCATCTTTGACCTGACCTGAAAATGACCTTAGTAAAAATTGTAGATCTTGACCGTGCGTATCCGATGCCGTTTACCGTTTGTCGCTGCGATGTGTAGTTTTTGAGATCTGAAGGGGGGGGGGGCCGAATCGGCCCCCCCCCCGCCAGTTTCTTGTCCCGGCGGAGCCCGCCAGGAATAGGGTTAAGATAACTGCGCATGAAGCTCAGAATGAACAAGGCCAGGGTCCTTATCTACCATTTTTGTAAGCTTTCAGCTCCTTTTTCAACAAAGTTAGCCTTTATCATACATCTCAGGCATTGGTATTGGCTCATAACCACTAGGACAGCACACTTGTCACCCATCTTGCCATCACCACTCACCAGTCTGCTGTGAAAGCTCAGTGTCCAGGTCTGACAAGTCTCCAAAGATGCTCTCCTCCAGCCGCCTTTTGGCAGAGTCCTCTGTACCGTTGGTGGCCCTGTGATGTGTTGTATCTTCGGGCGCTGGGTATGCAGACCGGCCAGAGGACTGTGTTCCTGAGCCCTGCAGCCCAGTTCTCTGGGAGGCGGCAGTGGCCTGTGTTGGAGGAATGGACGGCAGTGGGCCATCATCCTCAATGTCTGAAGGTATGTCTGTGAAAAAAAGACACAACATTATATTTGACATAATTACTTTTGGAATTTGGCCACTCAGTGATGTACCACAATCACCATCACACTCTGAAGTCTGAGAATCTAAGCTAGGTACAAAACCAATGTCCAACTATATGCATACATTATCATTATTTCCTATTTATCTTCACCCTATCTCGATACATTTTAGTACATTTAACCCGCGCCCCGTTGGGCTCTGCCGAGCAACGCGCCCGGTTGGGGGGGGGGGGCCATTTTGGCCCCCCCCCCTAAGATCTCGAGAACCACGCAACATAGCGACAAGCGGTAAACGGCGTTGGATAGCCCCAACGGGGAACTACCTTGTGACCCAATTTTATTGACCTAGGTCAAACAGATGACGTCACAGGTCAGGTCAAAGGTCCAATTTTCACCGTTTACAGGCACTTCAAGAAATGCGTTGTAAAATCGAGTAAAATGCATTTCATTGAAAATCATCGATGGGGAAATGTTCTTCAAACACATATTTTGCTATTTGAGGTCACTGATACCAGGTCAGGTCACAGAGGTCAGGTCACGGGGGGGGGGTCACAATATGAAAGTGTCGTGTGATAATGTTTATGGTCCATTTTACATGACAAATGCGATTATATGGGTCAGGCAGCCTTTGGGGCCAGCTTAGATCACGTTTTGGTCAAGGTCAGGTCAAGGTCAGGTCAAGGTCAGGTCAAATTAGGTCAAATTTCAAAGTTAATATTTTTGCATAAAATGGGTATCGAATCGATGCAGCTCGTCACGGGGAGTTCAATGGTGGTCTTTGTTTTGCCGTACGTGGTCTAGAATTGCTAAAAATTGAGTTCAAAAATTTGACGTCATCATTTTTGAACAGTTTTTTCGCTATAACTTGGCCAAAAAACGAGATATCGATCTGAAATTTGGTATGTATATAGAAGAGCGCTGGGACTATCACATATATTCCGGTTTTTTCGAAATTCGGAAATTTTTTGGATTTTTTCCAAGTTTTTCTAAAAAAATCAATTTTTTGAATTTTTTTTTGGTCAAAAACCAAAAATTTTCAAAATCCGAGATAGCAGTTTTGTAGCGCCGCTTTTTGTCTACTAGACCATATAAAGAACTTTGAAATTGCTTGATAACCGTAGATTTGGTGAGCGTTTCAAGGTTGCATGTTTTTTGCTCATTTTTGCTCGAACATGACCTCAGTTTGACCTCAATAACTCCTGACCTAAGGTGACCTAAGACTTGAAATTTGGTGTGAAGGTGTCAAATTGATGCCCGGGAAGGTACTGAAAATTTGGCGGCGCTGCGCGCCGCCGTTTCCTTGCTATTCAGGAAAAACCACAGGGGGGGGGGCCAAAATGGCCCCCCCCCCCCCCCAACGGGGCGAGGGTTAAGTCAGGTGCACTGGAACTGTACTAAGGCAATCAGAGTTAACAACATACAAAATTCTAACTATGATGTGGCACTCAGCAACTGGCAGACTACAAAGCAGGTATTGCAACCTCACAACACAAACTTGTATTACTATTCTATTTGTCAACAGTCAACACCCATAAGGGTAGGTACTGTGCTGAACTGAACCACTGTCCTGGTGCAACATTGTATGAAAAAAATGATACCTACACAGGACACACAGTCGGGTCAGCCAGGGAAGAATCAACGTTTTATTGCAGTTTTGGCTTAAACCACATCAGGTAATTAATAAAAATTATAGCAACGGTTCTAAGCATTGCTTGGCTAGTGTCCGCACATCCCTTAACCCTCGCCGGCCGAGGGGGGGGGGGGCGGGTGCCGCCCCCCCATAGGGTTTTTTCGCGATAGCTCCGAACACGCTGGCGATAGAGAGCTGAAACTTGGCCAGTGCTGGAAATGAGACCGCTTTCTGGTCCCGGCGTTTTATTCTCCGGGTGAGTTAGCCCCGTCTAGCGCTTAGCTTTTCGGGACCCTCTCAGAGCCGCGATTGTTTTCGCCGCTCGGCCCATTCGAGATGCGAAGTTGATAGTCGCACGAAGTTTATTTGGGGCCTCTGAATATACGACTTCGAAATGAATCGATTCTACAAAACCTTTTCCTTTCATCTATATGCATACATTAACAGTAACCCCAGACTAGACTGGTTTGGCTGGCCCTAAATAAGCTTTGTGTGACTATTAACTTTGCATCTCGACTGGGGCGAGCGGCGAAAACAACCGCGACCCTGGGTGGGTCCCGAAAGGCTAAAGATAAACGCTAGACGGGATTAACCCGCGAGGAGAATAAAACGCCGGGACCAGAAAGCGGCCTGATTTCCAGCACTGAACTTGGCATACCTGACCTTTGATCCAAGCCGGATCTTTTGACACCAACCGCATTTTTGGGTCAGGTCAGGTCACTGACCTATGACGTCATAAGTGAACCTCTGCACGGTCTTCAGATGTCGCAACTTCGCAACGCCCTCACTGCCAGAGGAGATGTCAAAGGGAAATGAAACTTGCAGGATCTAGTATCCATTATGAGTCCCACATCTTGTATATCTCGGATTTTTCCTAAAGGTCATATGAGGTAAGGTCATTTTCGTGACCTCACCATTATAAGTCAATGGGGAAAAATTCAAACTGCTATTCTGGCGCCGGGAACGATCTCCAACTATCTCAAGCACACAGAATCGTGATTTGATGCACTCCTTGCAAGGTTAGATGCGTCACTTTTGCAATGTTGACCTTGCGTGACGTCATTTATGACGTCATCAAGGTCAAATTAGTTTTTCGTCAATAACTCTTGATCAAATTGAGCTAGCGAGTCGGGAAAGGCACCAATGGACTCAGGAAGGCCTGCCGAATCGAATGATATGCGACATGACCTCTTTCGACCAACTTCGTGACCTGGGGGTGCTGACCTGACCTTGACCTGAGGTCAACACCCCAAGTTGACCTGACCCCGACAAAAAGTATATCATTCGACGCGCCTGAGCGAGGCGAACACGATGCTGCCAAAATCGGCGCTCTGCAGCCGTTTTTTGCGAAGTTATTCACCAAAAACTGAACCGTACCCTGGGGCACTTGACCTGACCTCAGAGGTCACCGGTTGACCTAGGACCTTAAAATCGGGTACCAATCTCTGCGTCTCGTAACGGCGCACACGCTCGTTTTTTCCGCGACGCGCTAGCTCAACCAGGGGCGAAACGGCAAGGGGGGGGTCGTACCCGCCCCCCCTCGGCCGGCGCGTATGTAGAAAACCAATAGGTCCGGCGAGGGTTAAGGTATCATCCCCGACTGATTCATCAGGGGGGTGTTCACGGGCACTGCACACTGCTGCGTGCGGTGTGTGTGGTGCGTCCAGCAGGCGTGGGGGTAGGGGATGGGTAGGCGATTCTGACGTCACGGCTGCGTGCGGTGGACGGTCCGCTGTGGCCAGTCCCGACCGGCCACAGCGATCGCTGTGTGCGGTGACGGAAGGCAGACGTAGGGACGAAGTGGGCGGAGCTTCGAGGCTGTGTGCGGTTCGACTGCACACAGGGCCCGTGAACAGCCCTCAGGTGTGGCGTGGGGTAGGATCTGACTTCGGCTGTAGCCTGGGGGAGCCAGGAAGGGGATCAGGACAGGATGGGGACCATGAGCCAGGAGGAGCAGCTCTCCTGTAAATGGGACGTCAAATTACCCGTCAGGCGTCAGAGAAAGGTCCAAATAAAAAACAGCCAGACTGGTGCAGATTTAACCCCCTAGCTCAAGCTAATATGTCTCATTGACTGTGCCGCCATGCTTTGAAGTCTGAAATAAATGATTCATACCTGTATCATCGATCACAAGTTGCTTTTCTTGTTCTAGCTCGTCCAAGAGATCTTCCAAGTCATCATAATCGGGAGCATCTGGTGGATAGTCATAGTCCATGGTGCCAGAAGGGCAAATATTAAGGAAACACCTTAATAACAGGGTAAATGAGGGAAAATATTAATAATTCAATAGAACTCTTTTTTCAGGCTCTCTCTATCGTCTGGAGGTTTCGAAAGATGCTCTCCAGAGATGGCGCTAGTAAATTTGGCTGACGTGACGTCATGCTAAAAAGTGATGGGTTTTGTGAGAGCAAATGTAATAATAGTTGAAAATTTTGTACTTTTGCTTAATTAAGAAAAATAAATATACAATTGTTCAAAACAGCGTTTTCCACATTCATCCTTCATTGTTTTAAGAGGAATATAGACAGTTTAAATCTGTTTTCTTGACCGCAATTCGCACACGCACTAAATTAAAAGCTGGAGTTTTGTGCGTTCGTAAATTGTGATTTGAGAAAATAAGTTGACAATGATCTTTTGCACTTTTGCTTTACAATCATTTTCAATGCAGATAAATGCATAAATTATTCGAAAATAGGCATATCTTTGAAATATTATGATTTTCCACAAGCAAATTTTCCCAAAAACTTGAACTACTTACAACTGACGAACGCATCCAATAATCTGGATGTCTTAGGATGAGTTCGTCATTTTTTTCCCAAGGAAATACGATACAGTTCAAGCTACTTTACCGATTTATTAGGGTACTTTTGCCAATGAATTAATAAATAAATGACAACAATTAATCTCATTATCAACCATACTCGGAAGAATTTTCTTCACATAAGCGCGAACACATCCGCGCTTTCATGAAAAGTCACGCCTGTAGATGTCAGGACTGCTGCTTTATGTTTCGCAAGGTGGCGCAGCGCGCAGGGTACCGACTACCGAGGCTGAGGTCTCCAGACTCTCCACCACGATTTAGCTTGGAAATGGCCGATGGGGAAGGTCTCACCCAAAAAACGGACGCCCTTTTACACAGCTGCATAATGAGAATGAATTATTGGCATAGCTGACCACACGTCCCCTCCCCCTCTCCGCCCCAGCTCAATTGGAAATATCGCCTATTTTCCTTAGTCAGTTATATTCTGACTAATTTCTCACTCTTCCCAGTAAACCTTAACATGCATGATGCAGATGTCCACTGCGTAAGTCGTGTGCTTCCGTAAGTGTGCCAACTATATAGTGTTGCCTACACTCTACAGTGCCTACTGCTTCCCCATTGTCGTTATAATTGGTGATTCTCAGGTCAAAAGTTACACAGTGGTCTCAGAGAACAATCGTTTCAACAAATTAACGATTCAAACCGTTGCATTCTACTTATATTCCGGTCAGTTCTGCTACTAAACGATTCCGGCAAAACACTCTTTAGGTTATGTATTAGCGAACCACCACACAAAATTCGCCCAATCAATGGTCAGTTATTACTGCTGGGCTGAACCGTCATACGCTTTATAGCCTATTGCAGTCAATATTTTCAGAACGATACTGACTGACGAAACACAACGTATTCGCGGATTCGCACATACGTTGGCACCCAGGTGGCCTGTCAGCAGCCGCACAAATTGAGATGGTACACCGTAAAGCATGCCTTTCCACACAGGCACAATCACAGGGACACAAATTCTCAAAATCCAAACTTATTCCAATACTGGTCAAATACGAATAGGCATAAAGTTTTGAGTTTTTCTCATGTTCATTCTTCTTTCAACACACGCGGCAGACTGCAGCAGAACATCTCACAGAGCTGCGCTGGATGCAGTCATGAGCTGGGACACGGTTTGTGACCAATGACCGATCGGGGGTGCCAGCCTCCTCCCGGCACGCGATGCACTGGCCGCCGCGCAGTCGATGTCGGGGCACCGCCGGCATTCGCCGACAGGGTTCCATCCGATTCGGTGTATTGGTGGCAGCCCGAACAGTGACCCACGCGAAGCTGGTGGACGTCGATGGCCGATGAGCGATGCCCTTCCGCGACCGGTGGTGGCAGTCGGTCCCACATCAAGAACAGATACCAGTCATGCGGTCAGTCGGCGACGGCGCTGTCGCGAGCCGATCTGATGGTCGCGCGGTGGGCGTTGCCGACGTCCACCGGGACCGTCGACTGGGGGAGCGCGGCCGCCTCTTGGCCGCCGCCTCTGGTCGGCGCGCTCGTTGCGCTGTGGGACGGCATCCACTGCAAGTCGTTCACTGTGAAGCGGTCGTTTGACCGGGCCTGGCAGGCGGGGAAAGGGGGCTTCAGATGAAGTAAAACCATCCCTCAGGCCAGTTGCCTCTCCACCTCACCATGGCAGATAAGCGGACACCCTCGTGATCATCGCAGCGATGATTGCCAACTGGTGTGTCATTATGGGAGAGGATGCCAGCCTCCTTTGCAAGATAGTCTGCCTTTAATATAGTGCAGCCCGACCCATTGCCTGTGGTGCAGACTGGGCTTGATAATGCAGTGCAGGACACACCAAACGTAAGCGGCCATCTGTACCCCCTGTGCAGGTAGGGCTGACTCAAGAGCCCAGAGTTGCCCTCCCCCCACCATTCTGTGCACGTGATAACTGGATGGGACATGCCATGGTCAGCATCTGTTCAAAAGCTGCCCTAAGCATGTAAAGCTCCACTGGCATGCTCAAGCATGGTCACAGTCAGTTCTCACTTCTCAGTTGAACCTCCAATGGAAACCCATCACAAAGTAGAGATCAGGGCGCCTCTCACACTGCAGCACACTCAAAGACTGAGGCACCATCTCATCACTTGCAGGTGGTTCTTGCCAGGAGCAATGCCAGCCACGCACATCAGGTGATAACAGCAGTGTACAACTGCAATCTACAAGCATCCATGTTCTTTCTGGTTTTCTCCTGTTGAGATCCACTGCCATGCATGAACTTGATGGGCTTTTGTTGCGCTCCTCCCATGTGCAGACAGGATTCTGCTGAAACAAAGCAAAGCAAATGTGATTAATAATGGCCCTGTTTCACCATCCAGACACTGTGTGCACTGGTAGCTACGGCATACCATAGCATCACTCAAATGACGTTGCATGTGATCTCTTAGTTTATGATGAATCGCGTTTGGAACAGAGTGAGAGGTTCTGAAAAACCGTACCAAGAACAGAGGTTTGAGTTCAAATACTGCTAGCATGCTGCTGGTGCTGGTACCGCAGCGTGCTAGCGTTCTGGGATGCTGTCATAGCTTAGCGTCACAGTGAAGTTTGTTGACACTGTCATGGAAACCCAATGCTCTGACACACGCATGACGCAGCGCACTGCAGTGCTCTGCCGTGAAACACCACCCATGAACGTTGGTTGCATGACCAAGATCGGAGCAGTGTGGCAGACAGTGATTTTAATTTTAATTGCACTTCCTAGAGATTAAAATGTTGTTGGTGAAATTGCTATTCATTATTCCTATTACCATTGTCTAAATTTCACATTTCAAGACAGCATCAGCATTGACATGTTATATAAAATAAGGTTTAGAGTAGGTGGTCCCGAGTTCAGCTATTAAGTAAAACAAGGGCAAAAAATTGTCAAAAAAATATTTTAAAAAAATACCTGCCTGCATCAACACCTCATCTAATCTAACCTCATCCTCATCTAACAAGGCCCTAAAAGCAAAAACCGTTTGAATAACAATGTAATATTTTGCAACCGCTGCACCATTACTGTCACGTACGCTATCCCTAGATTGGTTGCTGGTAAGTAGTGGTTGTCGTCATCAACTCGTCATGCAGCAGCTGATTGGGATGGGCGGGGCCTATTTTTATCCAGACGATAGAGAGAGCCTTTTTTCACACCAAATTTATTCAAGTGTTTCCGGCGTGCGCGCTAAATGTAAAATACCGCCAGCTGCCATATCCTCGGACAAGGCCATTTTATATCTACGGACAGGGGAATTAGTAAAACATTTCATCAAAATGGTTTGACTTTTATCAAATATGCTTCAATATGATGGATAGTTACATAAAAAATAGTGTTTGAAAACCTGTTTTGCTGTTAACAGCATACTAACTCAAATGAATCCACAACATAAAAAAATATTAATTTGCTATTAACAGGGGAAGGAGAAAGTTTTTTATTACATATGGTATCTGGCTTTTGAGACAAACATTGTGATCAAAAGACAAAATACGCTATTCTAGGACTTCACCACAGTTTCTGCTTTCATAAACGGGCGAGATGTTTTGATGTTTTTTGCGTATTTTAAATATTGTATGCAAAGACATAGGCAGAACCTATGAAAAGGTGATAAATATTGTTACAAAAAAGCAAACACACTGTAAATAATCACAGTAATTATTCTTTTGGTGGAAATAGAAAATGTTATTAGATCGGCTAGCAATATCATGAGCCGATGCCAACAGTGCTTACAGAACACACTGCGGTCATGGCCCGACCAGTAGGTCAAGGTAGTGTAGTGCAGCTTGGGCGTGCCGCGTGACGGGCAGAGCCAAGGCAGAGCGGTAGCAGCCAGTAGCAGCACTGTAACATTTCAGGTGTCTTGCGTGTTTCAAGTTGTTTTGATGCCTGAAATACTTTCGACTTGGGATCACCGGATCAATATCAATATGATATACCCTGCACCGGATCAGTCGTCTGGTGGTTTACTTTTGATCTTTATTCGCTTGAAAGGTTTGGTAATAATTGTTTTGGGAGCACAATGCGATCTTTATATTTTGCCTTGCTTTAGTGATGTTAGATTTATCATTTCACCTTGACCTCCATCATCCTTGATTTGGTACCTACCTTCCATGTGCTGGTGAAATTTGAAACAGGGCACCTGGGGCGATTTGATCAAGGCTCTTTAAATTGTCACATGGCAGCCGGTAGCTACAAGGCATTTAAACATGGATAATTTCACAGTAATCAGGTGACTTACATGGCACATGCCCTCCGGCACCCTGTTTTCAGATTCCACCCATGTGCCTACTTCCTTACCTAACCTAACCCAAACTTGCATAGGTAACCTAACTTGAACTGAACCTTATATTACCTAACCTAACCAGTAACCTAACACAAACAATAAGATTGTGTGTTGATTTTGTGCTGAGTTTGAGTTTGTTGGCAGTGCAGTTGCTGGTGTGTTATGATTTAGTGAAAAATATAATGATTATTCAGGTCTTGTGTGACTGTGTCACTTTCCCTGGCTAAAATAGTGTGTTGGTGTGTGATTTCCTTTCATGCTTTTATTTTGTGAATTCTTTTAGTTCTTGG